AGGTCTAGAAACCTTGATCCCACTCATACCATTCAAAAAGCATTTCCCAAAGCGATATCACCGAGAGCCCAATATTTCTTATTAGTCTGGGGTATGTACTCTCAGCTTCCATTTCCCTAAATGTGTGAGCTGGGCAGATGAAACTGTAGACACAGATCCTAGTGAGACCAAAGGGAATGTATGGAGACAGCCTCTTGCCTCTCCAGGTCCAGACTTCCCTCAGCTCTTCTTGTATCTTGTAGACAAGAGGAAAAGAATCGGAATTTATTGAGCAGTAACTATATTACAGACACTGGATAGATGAAATGAAAGGTCATAAGCACAGATGTCTCCCCATTTACTCTCTCTCACCAGTGGTTTAGGGGTGACTGAATTTTTATTGTCTCCTATTATTCCCTGTTATATTTAGTTTCAATAATTTCCTATTAAGATTGGTATATACTAGTGATTTTAAGTAGTATAGAATATTCCAGGTGGCTTGACAAGGATTTAATCATAGAACCTCCTGAATTGTTACCAATTTAAGAGAGGTCCGAAGTTCAAGTAGATAGAAATTCATTTCAGCAGAGATGAGAATACACTGATTATGGCATTTCTCAGTCAACAATATTCATCTTGTTGAGAAAAAAAAGGATGAATTAATGAATACTGAACAAGCCAGTTAGGAAGAAGTCAGCTGGACCTTTTGATCTACATTTTCTTGCACCAAATGACATTACACTAAGAGCTGACATTCTTTCCTTGCCATGAAGCAGGGCACTGTATTCCAAGCTCACAAACTGAAGTCTCAGAATAACACAGGAGGTTTGCCTTCTTCAAGCCATACTTGCAGCCCCTGCTTTGAATTGGAACTCATGTATGATGTGCTTCCCTGCTACATTCCATCCAATGCTTCTAGAGGAACAAAGGAATATGAATCACAGTGACACATGACTGTAAAGCTTTGGGGCAGCAAAGGTCACAACAGTATGAGTATGAAGAATGCAGAAGAAAAGACTTACAAGCAGAGGATGTGGGCTCAGGTCCTAGATAGAGTGTCTGCTGTTGAGACGCATGCCCTCTGTAAGCCTTGGTGTCGTCATTTGGAAGATGAGGCCAAAAAGATCCCTACTGAAGTCTAAATGCCCCCTGCAAATGCCCCTGTTAAAATTTAAGTAGCACTGTAGTGTATCAAGAATGGTACCTTTCTGAAGTGATTAAGTTGTGCAGACACCTCCCTAAAGCATATATTACAACTATTATAAAACCAGAATGGGCTGCTGATGGCAGACTTCTAATAAAAGGATGGGTTGGATTAGTTGCCCTCTCTTCTTCAGTATATGATGTCCTTTGTCCTTGGCTCTGTGAGGACATAAGAAGGGCTTCATCAGACATCAGTGCCAGCTCTTGAACTTTTTTAGACACCAGAAGTGTAAGCTACATAAATCTCTGTTGCTTAAAAAAAAAAAAAAAAAAAACACCCAGTGTCTGATATTCTGTAGCAGTAGAAAATGGCTTATACATGTTACATGAAATAACTGACATAAGCAGACTCTGGACCATGCACAACTTCAACTTACTATCTAAGAATACTAAAGGTTAGGAGTGGCAGACAGAACGTGGTGACTCCAGTACCCCAAATACTTGTCTCTTAGCAACAGGCTAATGAGCCTGCTGTCTGATGTCACAGCACCCACCCTCCCGCCCCCCACCCACCACCAAAAACTAAGAGCTAAGATGTTGTGCAGCCTCAGCCCTGAAGCACTGTGTCATGCATCATGCTCCAACACTGTCACTCCCCGCTGTGCACAGGAGTGGAATGTGAGGTGACACCTGAAGACAAGGTGGGAAGGAAGAGCTGTCAGCAGGGTTAACTCTGGATGCAGGTGTCAAGGAAGCAAAAAAGAAAAAAGAGAAAGAAAGAAAGAAAGAAAGAAAGAAAGAAAGAAAGAAAGAAAGAAAGGAAGGAAGGAAGGAAGGAAGGAAGGAAGGAAAAGAAAAAAGAAAAAAAGGGAAGGTTGTGTGGCTAAGAGAGGGGACACATGGAGCGGCCTTAAAGAGGGCATAATCTAAATTCCTGGATCTGCCACCAGAAAGCAGGGGATAGTGAACAAATGACTTAACTTCCATGGGTACTGGCCACTCATTTCTGACATATGTTCTGCCTGTCTCACCAGTGAGTACCACAACATATTTAACTGACATGAAGACCCCACAACCGTGAAATTCCTGGTAGTTTAATATGCCACAAAAAAAAAAAAAAAAAAAAAGCATCGTCAAGCTCTTCCATGCCAGTATTCTAAGATGTGAGCTGACTTCAGAGTATGTCTCTTAGCAGCAAAGCAAGATGGTAGATGAACACATGGATATAAGACAGTTCAATTATCCATCCCACTGCAGTGGGTCAGAGCCCTCTCTCTCAGCAGTCAAGTGTACAGTGAACCTGTTGCCAGGAAGCCATCTGCATGTAAACTGAAAATACTTGCATGTTGGGCTGAAGGTGGGATGGTTTCGGGAGCAAAGTCTTATTGGTTCAACTAGAAAGTATTGGCTTCTCAAGGTCACCCAGAAAGCCATCTAAGTCTGAGGAGCCACCAAGAAAGCTGGGCAGACAGCTCAGATAGGACAACTGGCTTGGTGAAGCTCTAGCACTCCCTGGACATACAAGTAAGGAATAGAGGGCTTCTTGACTATAACAACAAGAGTACCCCCTGCAGATTCCCATAAATCTGCTCCTTCAATCTTGTGACAGTCAACCCCTGTTAAAGCTCCTATTAATCTTCCCTTGGCCAGTCAAATGGCGACGGTCCTCCACCTCCATACACCCATCACAGACCCCACATCCCACACCAGAACCACTAGATCCCCCTGCAAAGTACCAGTTGTTTTATGGTACCTGGAGAAGACTTGTTCTGAGACCCTGTCATGTTATTAACATATAATGTATGCATATCCTCCCTTCTGGATACTTTAAGTCATTTCTGCCTACAAGACCCTGCAACATAAATGCTATGTAAACATTAGTTATACTGCTTTAAGGAATGGTGATGAGGATAAAAAGTCTTTTTGTGCTCAGTATAGATGCATTTTACCCAAATATTTCCTAGCCATGCTTCACTGGATCTGCTCAGAAGCCAAAGATACAGAGAACTGAGTGCATTTCAATCTGTCAGATGTCTAGTAAAGTGTGACACTCAAAAGATGTATGTTAGAGCATCTTTAATGATTATTATAGCCAAAACCAGAAGGCAATCTAAGTGTCAAATAACAAGTAAAAACAAGAAGCAAGCTGCGTAATCCACTTAAAGTGTTGATCAGTCACCACAAAATTTCAGTAGAGTAAGGAATGATGTGTGATATGCCCATCATATATTGAGAAAGGCAGCAAAATTATAGACATCTGAAAGAAAGATTTCTTAGCTTTAAAGAGCTAGGAGAAGATGCCGTAAAAATCAGAAATTGCCCTCAAATCAGTGAACAGGTTTTTTATTCTCTTTTGATTTTTCTGTATTTTTAAAAATCAATGCGACAGCTTAAAATGACAATGACTGGCTTAGACCAGAAATTTCAAATGTTTTCAATGCATATAGCATCAAACAGGACCAATCACACACACACACACACACACACACACACACACACACACACACCCTTACCACCACCATCAATAACACTTGATTATAACATGATCCAAGCTCTCTTTTAGGACTTTTCTAATAGAGTATATATCATATAACATGATCCAAGTTCTCATTTAAGACTTTTCTAATCTTTAGAGACATTTAAAACATCACTCCAGTGTGCTACATTTTCTGTGGCATTATACTCCTGTGGTACTATATATACTAAGTCATATTTAAAATTACCATTAGAGTATTTTTTGAAAAATAACCTACAGAAAATCCTTCTATAAGGCAGCAAATACTTTTTAAACATGATCATTCAGTCATATTCATCCATTACCTATATTGAGGTTGGCTGTTTATGAGCTATACTGTAAGCCATTATATCTTCACCTACTTCCTTTACTCAGCCTAGAAGCTAAAAATGGGTCTATATCACAAGACAATGGAGAGATACACATGGCTCCCAAACTCACTTTGTCTTTAGCTTTACCCAACAACTCCCTCCATATTTCCTTTTTCCTCGTGTTTGTTCATTATAATATTTTCTCTCTTCAGGTCCTATGAAGCTCTGCTTGTTCTCAGCAGTGAGCCAGGCAGCTAAGGAAGGTAATTTCCATGCCATACCTACACAGGTTTATCCTTCTCTCCTGAAAGCACCAAAAGCCAATGGACCCAAAGACTCACAAGCCAGAGAAACCTGTACCGAATTCTCATCACTTCAATGCTAAAGCCCATCACATCTGCCATCAACAGTGCTGGGCCTGTCTCCTACTATATTCATCCTATGAAACTCCTCATCTTCATACTATGTTCATACCCAAATGAGTGATATTGCAAATATTCACCTAAATGGATCACCATCCTATTATGTGCCTATGGCACCGGGTCAGTCCCAAGATACACTATATTAAGTTCTAAGGAATAACTTATCAAACATTTTGATGCAATTCAATTTTATGCCATTAATAAATCTATAAATCATTTCAGTCTGTTTTCAGTGTGTTCATCTTAATCTTTAGTTCAGAAAACATAATTGGAGTCCTCTCCAATTGCCTAAAGAAATTGGGTGTTTTGCTGCATCCTTTGAGCTCTTGGGATGACCCCTCCTCCAGACCAGAACAAGCTGCTTGCTTCAGTGAAAATGCTCCTGTTTGGGACACTGGGTGTTCAGAAATCTAGCAAGTACACAATTGGAAGTCAGAAGCATGACTGAGAGTCCCATGCCTCCGCCTAATGCCACATGTACCCAGCTCCTCCAAAAAATAGGTTCATTATAGTAAAGCTCCATGGAGACTCTGAGCCTTGATCATCTTCTATTTGATCTCTGCAGACCCTGTGTTCCTCATATTGGCTACCTCATGTCACACACAAAGAGCAAGAAGGAAGAAGACTCACCCACTGAGGACCACAATGAAGTCCATGACATTCCAGCCATTGCGGAGATATGAACCCTTATGGAAGATGAACCCTAGAGCCACAATTTTGATCCCAGCTTCAAAGCAGAAGATTCCAATGAAATAAGGTTCTGTCTTTTCCTGTAAAGACAAAGGACAGAGGAACAATAAAAGGATTGCTCCATATGAGACACAAGCAAAGGCACATCCTAACTATCTCCTGCATACCCATGATGGTCAGCCTCATGTACCAGTACGGCTTAAGTTACAGAAGGTTCAAAAAGTGCCTGAAACTGCACGGAATACACAGAATAGGGGAAAGTGCTATAAAAATGGACAGATGTGTCCATTTTTCTCCTGAACATCCCCAGTGGCATAGTGTTGCCTAGAAGGAGTTTGTTTCTTGGGTCTCTACACCAGCTGGGAACTTCAGAGTTCTCATGCCTGGGTCATCAGACTGGCCACTCGCCCATGTGTTTGAACTTAAAATAATGTGTGTGCTCTCTTCTGGAGGAATACATTAGACATGTGAATCATTCCTTTAGGAGAATAAGGATGTCAGCATCTAGCAAGTTCATAAACACCAACACACTCAGCTTTCAGCATCTTTCCTCCCTTCTCTCTGGCTCTCCCTTTTTTTCTCACTTCAACAGTCCCATAGGAAATATGAGTGAAGCAAATGGTCCTCATGCCTGCCCTTTCTTCTTGCCTGTCTACCATATGAGCACAGAAAAGTATTTGCAATCACTCTTCCTCATGAGTTCCAGTAGGGTTGACTGATAACTGTCCCTCAGCAAAGAACAAAGTCTACACAGAGCTGTATGAGAAGGGAAGTATGGAAATGGGGTGGTGCCAGAGGAACCAGGAGGAGAAAGGGAGAAGGAAGCACATACATACCAGCCTTCGGGACATTGGGGTCTTGTCATCCTCAGGAAGATGCTGCTCCAGGGCCAAGACGATGCAGTTGGCAATGATGGTGGCCAGGATCATATACTCAAATGGCGTGAAAAAGAGGAGTTAAGGATCCAGTTCATGTAAGAGAAGATGCAGCCTTTAAGATAGCCATGTACACACACACACACACACACACACACACACACACACACACACACACCCCTACCTCTTCCTTCTGCTGGCCCTTGCAATCTGAATGATTTATATTCACAATCATTTAGGGCTAGTGGGTGAAAAAAAAGCATCTTCTCCAAGAAAAGGAAGCAAGTGATAAATAACAGAGCTGGTCATATGTCAGATACCCCAAATGATGAATGAAATAAAATATAAAAACAGCAACTAAATAGGGCTTCAAACTGATGGGAAAGAAGGAAGAAGCAAGATGAACCAGGTAACAGGATTCTGCTCTTCCCATGCCTTCATATGCCTGGGCAGAAGAACCAGCTTTAGTCTCAATAAAGACTCAGCTGTGGCTGTCTGTCACCCTCTCAGAGTCATACCTGGGGCCACTCCCCTTCCCCAGAACCTCTGATCAACTGGGGGGAAAAGAATCCCTAGAAAGGAAACCATTCCCCCCCATGTGAGCCCCCTTCGGTTTTCATAGCTGGCACAGAAAACAAATCCTAGGGCCAGGAGAAGCACTTGGTCTCCCCATGCTTTCTCCCAAGCATCTGCATTGATAGGGATCATAGGGGCATAGCATGGGTTGGAATCTACCATGGCAGAGTTCAGCCAAGCTGTGAATCCATTGAGTAAACACAGGAGCTTTCCCCTGCTGTTTTTCTATAGACAGGTGAGGTGTCCTCTGAGCCTCTTTGAAAAACATGACTCAAAGCAAGCACCCTGACTCCTGCAGAAAGGCTTTGCTATAAGCTTCAGGGAGGGGAGGGGAGAGGAGGGAAGGTGAGTCTATGCCTAAAAAAGGGAAAAGGCCGCTCCCTCCCAGGGCCCAGTCATCCCACAAGTTGGGATTTCATTCTGTAATTACTGTTATGACAAACACAAGCCAGATGTGTCACTAGCCTTGGAGTGCAACCTATTCTCTGGCAAATTCCACAGCTCAGATGGGGGCGAAGGACAGTTCATCTGACAAAGAGGGAAGGACAGAGATCATTCTCCTACCACCCCACAGAGTGGGGCTAGCTGTGAGGACACAGGACCTAAACACCTCTTTCCTAGCACAGAAGACGGCCAGATCATAAAGAAGCCCCCCTACCCCTTACCTCTCTTCCCATCCCATTAGATGAGCATCCAGTGATCTCTGGGGAGGGGCAGAGACCAGAGCATTCTGCAGGCAGAGGCCATGTACACCCACCAGTTGCTCTGGTTGTGAGGCTATCCCAGGAGTCTAAAGGGAAGGTAGATTGGAGTACCATCTCTCCCGGCATTCCCATGTACCCGAGTCACAGGCATTCTCCAGCAGCTGGCAGGCCTTCCTTCCCACATATCTCCAGTTCTCACATAGCATCCCCAACCCTCTGCTTCCTCATGCTTAGCCACCTGATCTGGAAATGGATGTGCCTCATTGGATGGACTCCCATCCCAGATTCTACTCTGCTTCCTGAAGCCCTCAGAGCTGGAGGGGAGCCACTTCATGGAAGCCCATCAGTACTACCAGACATACTTTGTTTCAAACTCTAGAAGCTAGGGCAACCTCTGAGGGCCAAGCAAGCTGCAGGCACACTAGCATGCACACTCACTGTCTTAGGACAAGTCCCCTCCCAACATAAACCCTGGCAAGGCCACCCGAAGCACAAGGATCAGAAGGGAGCACACTTTGGTCATGTAGCTGGCTCTAACCTAGCACTTTGCATGGACAGTGACAATGAACTAACCCAGGGTCAATATTCCACAAGACTCTAGAGCAGACCAAGCTATCCTGGGCCTGGTGCTGATGCCTGGAATCCCCAAAGCAATCAGATGATAGTGAGAATAAGGCAAAAGTGGTGGTGGAGGAATTTCTGACCTTGCTTAGGAAATTGGTCCAGAGAGGAAACTGTCAGCGTGCCAACACAGCACTGATGAATGGCTACAGAAGCTGAGGGCATCTGGGGTGCTGTTTCTACAATGTAGGTCACAAAATACTAGTGCTACAGAAACTTGCAATCAAATAAATGAGGGAAGCCTGGGTTAAGTAAAGTGAAGTAGGTTCCTTCCCAGCAGGACTGCTTGGAGCCTTTAATGCTACTGTACACAGTGTGTGACTACACACAGTGGGGTGGGGAGCAGGATGCAGCACATTCCAAACTTGCTTCACCATGCAATCCTTTGTTCAGAGCATCTCTTGGGAATGGCACTCACAGGAACATTGTTAGGAGCCCTGATTTAAAAAACAAGGGCTGGAGAGATGGCTCTGCTCAGCTGTTAAAGGTTAGGCTCATAACCAAAAAACAAAACAAACGAAAAAACAGGTCTTACTGACCACAAGTTGAGGAGGGGCTGGTATCTCTGAGTGACACATACATTGCCTCTTCCATGTAACCACACACACACATGGGCGCGTGCGCGCACACACACATACACACATACACACATACACACACACACACACACACACACACACACACGTCAATACTATTAATAAAGTTGTTCACAAAAGCACTAGGCTCACTTGGCTATTGCCCATGGTTAGAAGTGCCCTGTCCTGTGCAAGCTCTGAAACCTACTCAGCACCTCCAGGGACCCAAGACCTCCCTGGGAAAAATCACTTTCTCATTCAAGACATATAAATCCCTGCCTCTTGTGGATTGACTGGGTCTGTGATTGCTTGGGAGCAGGAGGGGTTTCGAATTCTTGCACTGGAAGGCTGGGAAGGAAAACCAAGGACTGAAAGGATGGGAGCCCTCAAGCAAGGCTGACACACAGGTCGGTAGCAGCTCCACTTCTCCCAAGACATTCTCCCCACCAATACCTACTTAGAATGCTGGCCCCGCCAATCTCACTGCCACACCAGCATCTCCTTAACCAGGCCGCCTCCATCTGCAACCCCTTGCTAAGGTCCATAAACTTCACCATCTGGTTCAGATATTTGAGGCTTGTTAGGGACACGGGACTGGCCTGGAGAAGGTGTGGCCACTTCACTACAGGACAGAAGAATGGCTCTTGACCTTGGAGGCTGAAAAGTAAAATAAATGGTCTGTCACTGGTTAAGTCTCTGGAGGCCCCAATACTAGAATCAAAAGGTGATGGCTTACTTAGTTGGGGTTTCTATTGCTGTGACAAATCACCATGGGTAAAAAAGCAAGGTGGGGGGAGGGAGGAAAGGGTTTTTCTGCTTACACTTCCATGTCATTGTCCATCACTGAAGTGAGTAGGGACAGGAACTCAAACACAGCAGGAAGGAACCTGGAGGCACGAGCTGATGCAGAGGATGTAGACAGGTGCTGCTTACTGGCTTGCTCCTTTTGGTTTGCTCAGCCTGCTTTCTTATAGGCCCAGGGATGGCCCCGCCCACAATGGGTTGGGCCCTCTCCCATCAATCACTAATTAAGAAAATGCCCTACAGCCTTGCCTACAGCCTGACGTTATGGAGGCTTTTTTTTTTTTTTTTTTTTTTTTAGGGCTTCCTCTACTTTGATGACTTTATCCAGTACAGGTGGGAATCTAGCAGTTCATCAGTTCTGAGGGAAACGAAGAAAGTCTAAAAACAATCGTAGACTCACTCCCTTCCCCAGCTAAATCGTCTGCCTACTGTCAAGTGTTCAAAGACCCATTTCAGAGCAGCTGTGTGCAACTGGTTTGGATTATATTGTTCTAAACTGTTCAGATACATACCACCTGCAGAGGGTTGCCTCTCTAGGTCTTCCAGACTTAGACCTCATGGAGAACTCAGCTGGAGGGATAAAGGAAATGATATAACTGTGATGTGGGTGAGGGAAGGCAAAAGAAAGGCAAGCAGGAAGACATTCAGGGGTGGAGGCAGTGTCCCACCACTGTGTCCCAGCCCTTTTCTCCAGCTTCTTTTCTACTTCACTTTTTGAAGAAAATATAAAGAACAGACACTGATGTCTGCTATCACTTGCAGTGGTCTTTTTCTCTTTTCTGGTTATAAGTTGAAGCTTCCTATGGTGACACTATTCCTTATTCATCTTTCTTTGCATTGTACTTTTTTTTTTTTTTTTTTTTTTTTTTGGTATCTTCTATTTATCTCCTCCAAGAAACTATACCTCAAATGCAGGTGCTTCATTTCACTCTCCATAGGCTGTGCTTAGCAGAGATTCTGGTACACAGTAAGAGCTTAATGAATGTTCAGTGAAGGAGGGGATGCAAGTAGGCTCTCCACCGAAGGAGCAGCTCCCCTCCCACTGCTTAATACAGGACCTTAGTCTCTGTAAGGTGACTCCTTTCCCCTTGCTAGCAGACTTCAAGTCCAATAGCAAAGGCTCTGGTCCATCTCCAGGAGAAGATCCTGGACTACAGATTACAGCCCATAGTTTCAACTCGACAAGGCAAAAGATGTGACTTGGAGAGACCAAAGGAAGCCACATGTCACCACAGCTGCAAAGAACAGTACCCTTCGTGGCAGTCACAGTCAGCGACGCATGAAAGCAGTCACAGTCAGCGACGCATGAAAGTCTATCTGTGCAGAATTCTCATTCTACCTAGGAATTCAGTGATTCCCATTATGTTCCAGGCTTGGCTTGAAGCATACTTTGGAGAATGGCCATCACAGAGTCTAGACTGTATTTTAAGACCCGAACAAATGGAGCCAATGAAACAGAAAGGATTGGGTGGCTGAGGGCAGAGGCTTTGCCTGTCCCACACATGCCTGTCCCTGGTGACCAACACTGTGTTTGGAGATAGTGGGTATGTAATGATTGATATTTAATTAATAAGTGACTAATCGATACATGGATAGGACGGAGACACCAACCAGAGCCTGCAGTAGCATTATAAAAAGATGCACCATGTTCTCCCCACACAGTATTCCCATCTGAACTTTTGTACTGTATACTGTGGGCATACATTATCTATCAAAAGAAGAAGAAAGAGAACCAGTACACACAGACATTCTCTTTAATGTTAAGGAGAGAGGGAGAAGGTGGGGGT